GGTAAAAAGGTCAGTTTTCTGTGCTATTTAAGCGGCAAAACTTCAGATTCGATGAGGGACCTCTTAAAATTGAAATTATGAGCTCCGCTTTTAACAGAATATTTGTTCGGACATATTCTACGATATTTTGGGTGGAGAGCAAGAAAAAAACTATTTCGAGTTTTTTTGGCACACCCTAATATATATATATATATATATATATATTAGGGTGATTCATTTCCGCATAGTTTTTGTTTTTTTTCGGTGCTCAATATATATATTATATATATATATATATATATATATATATATATATATATATATACATATAATTGGTATGTTTTTTAGCCCGAGATACTATTGGGGCGCTCCGCCACCCACCATTTCTAACGTGGTTAGACTGCTAAGTGTTTGTTAACATAATTTTATTTAGGAAATACCAAGAGGGGTAAATATATAAGTTAATTTAATGATCTCTTTATTTATGGTACGTTGTAAAGCCCATAAGATATATATAGTACGTTATTCATCCCTCGTGTATGTAAAAACCAAGCAGACGGTTCTTGTTTAGCCCGCAACGTTGCCGGTTTTCACCAAGCCAACGCGTACGAATTGTCCAATAAGAACAGCGCTATCGTCCTGTTTTGTTGCCACGCGGCGATCACGCGACATAAATTTGCATTTAATGCCTATTTTCGTATTATTCTTCATACGTTCAACGTTGTGCATCCCGTTTTACTTTGTGTTCGTTGTGCATCCCGTTTGCGGTAAGTGATAAATTATGATAAATTATACTGATAATAGTTTACACATTGCGACAAGATAAAAAAGTAAGTAAGAATTATTAATTACACTGGTCAACAACCATTTTTCCTTAGTTTAGGGTGGCTTACAACTTTTTTAAGGTGATTTTGGTGCGCTGACTCCAAAAATGGCTATAATTTAATTAAATAAGCCCTTGTTTTTGCAATATTGTTCGTATTTTTTTTTCGAAATGCAAACCTAAATTGTAAATTTAATTATAATTTAATTTAACTCATGAATCATGATCATTGGTATGGGTGGTAACTATAAACTGGTTTTATGCCTAATTGTATAAGTAATATTTACTGTAGTAGTATTGTATTTTTCCTAAACTTTTTGGAAGCTGATCTTAAAATTAAATTTACAAAAAAATACTAAGAATTATGTAAATATCCTGATTTAGTATAATAATTGTCAATCTCTAAACTAAAAATGGTAATTTTACTTTACTTTTTAATAGTAAATAATTATTAAATTTACCATTATTTTTATCAGTTTACTTTAACGTATTTTTTTAAGAAATATTGCGTAATCAAAAATTTATTAATTACTGTTGCGTTTTATTTTAAGAAATCGTACAAGCGTCAGGAGCAAAATTGACGTAAATATTAATTTTAAAACGCTTTAAGTCCCATTTTGCCAATTTTTATTTTATTGCGTTGAAATTTTAACACAATAAAGTATATAGATGAAGCTATTAATTTTGTAAATTTGATTAAAATCTAAAAAATTGGATAGTATAACATCACTTTAAATTTAAAAAATTGTCAATTTTTGACTAAAAAACGATTTTATTTTGTTTAATACAGGACTTTTAAAGAAAATAACTTTATTAATGGGTATAATTTAATTTTTTTTCAGTTTAATTAGGACCCATATCTGCATTACCAATGCTTCTCGTATCGGTTGAAGTATTTGTTTAAAAAATATGCACGGTGGTCCAAAAGTAACCAATAATAATTTAAGAATCAATGAAAAACGTTAAAATAATATTAATTTTCTAAATAATATTATTTTAAAAATTCAACATCCAAGGGATTAAGTTGCATATATTTTTTAGAATAAAAAATTAATTTACAGCACATGGATGAGTATGATTTTTTAATTTGGTGGGAAATGTTTTTATACTACAAGCAGTGGTAATAATATCTCTTTTTAAAACAAAAAAAAGTTACCCCAATGATTTAAAAAAAAATTGTTTTAAAATAAACAGTCAATTAAAAAAAGTTATTTACAGCACATGGATGAGTATGATTTTTTAATTTGATGGGAAATGTTTTTATACTACAAGCAGTGGTAATAATATCTCGTTTTAAAACAAAAAAAAGTTACAATGATTTAAAAAAAAATTGTTTTAAAATAAACAGTCAATTTAAAAAAGTTATTTTTTTGTTAAATGTATCGTTTCACAGTAACATTGAAATACCAATTTACTGTTATTAAATTTAATCATATTTTCCATATGCTCTTTTTAGAGATTTAAATTTTATAATTTACATTTCTGAAATTAACAATGGATTAAAAAAAAGGAAAACTTTGATTAATTAATTAATTCTTAGTAATTTATAGCAGGACGGAATACCACGGAATTTAGTAACATTGAATTGGAATTGCAATTTTACTGTAAAACGATACATTTACAAAAAAACATTATAAAGACTTTTACTAAGTTTATTATGAAAATTAATATTATTTTATTAATTCTTAAATTATAATTTAAAAATTATTAAAAGTTTCTTTTAAAATTTCGAAAAAAATTATCTGTTTACAATATTGCAATAAACAAAATCTGATTGAACAAAATTATGGTCAAAAGGCAAACAAAAAGTTTTAATTTGTCGACCAGTGTTAATTTACCATTTTTAAAATTTTGTGATTTAGCAAAATTATTTTTGTGAACACTAGATAAAGTAAATATAAAACATTTATTAATTTTTTTTATATTTAAAAACATAAATATAAATATTGTAGGGGGCTAATGTATCACCCCGCAAAGTCCGTATTAAAATATTCCCTTAAAAAATATTAGGAACGATATTTTTACTTAATCATTTCAACTGGACTCATATTGAACTTTGCTGTGTTTGATATTAACCCCCTAATTTATTAATATGTTGATCTGGATACATAGATTTTGATAATTGACTTAAAAAAATGATGTCTCGGCGTTTTTTCAGATCACGTCATTTTTTTTAAGTGCGATCCAATAAAATGTATTCGGCACATAATATAACAGATTCGATAACAGCTGGACAGTATATTTTTATAAAAAATTTATTCACTGAATAAATGGACAACCATTAAGATTATTTATTTATTTTAAAATTATTTTAATTATATACAGGGTGTTGCACATTTACGAAATACGGTAATGCGTGTTTCACTTTCGTGGTCCATTGAGAGTTTCTGAGGAACGGCAAGATATCGATTTGAAATTTGTAAAGCGTTTATTATCCAATTAGGCCTATTTTTCTTAAATATTTTAAACAAAATGCCACTTCCGGCTTGACCGAAAGTGACATCAACTATGTTATTTTAAATGGAACACCCCATATATTTTTACATTTTTAAATTCTACATAAAATTTGGAGTAAAATTACTGTAAGTAGTTTTGGATTTATTAATTTTTTCCGTTAAAATATGACAAATGCGCGTCAATCAAAAATAGCCTATAACTTTCTTGCTATTAGGTTTTCAGATATGGGGGTGGAATTTTTGGAATCTTAAAACATTGTTTAAAAGATTCCATGTCAAATGTTACGTTTAAAATAAAAAAGTTATTAACGTTTCAAGTTAGCCCAATTTGCCCTGGGGTTTCTCGGGTAATTTGTTAAAAAATGTTAAAGAATTGACATGGAATTTTTTAAATAATGTTTTAAGATTACAAACATTTTACTCCCATATCTGTAAACCTAATAGCAAACATCTAGAAAACTATTCACTTCCTTACGGTGCATAGAGGTGGTGGAAGGGCTACACGGAAGGGAAGATACGGCTAGAGACTCGAGCAGCCCACCGATAGCGGCGCCAGGGCACGCACCGATACAGCGCATTGATTACAGCAGCGCGGTAACCGCGCCGCGGTTAGAGGCGCCACCACCGGCGAGCCGAAATCAAGGTCTAGCGGAGACCAGCAGACCTACCCAGGCAGGTGCAGACCCCTGTACCGAATCGGTATGCAGAGCATGGATCGCAGCAGTGCGGGAGCCGACACCGTCGCGACATTATGTTGGCCATGACGCCTGCTGCTTCTGCAGCCACATCTCGGTAGGAGCCTGACACAGTTCGAGCACACAGAGCACGGCACGAATTAAGGAACCTGTCTTCACGACAGTATTGGGCCTTGTGTTTCCAGACATCGAACGAGGGGGACCAGATCTGAGTCAGATGTCTTTTAAGGTTAAAGAATAAACTTTTCGATTTAAAGCAGACAGTCTTAAGGTGTGATTGGAAATTGAGATGATGATCCAGTGTAATTCCAAGGTATTTGGCGGATTATACAAACCGAATAGGCGGATTTTTAAGTTTGATATTAGGTCTTTTGTTGTGTTTACCCATAAAGATCATAAAGTTACATTTTTCAGCAGAGAACATTATTTTGTTTTCGTCGGCCCTCGAGCTGACCAGCGCAAGAGCCCTATTTGCATTAAGGTCAAGTTGAGCGCGGTTTTCTGCTTTAATCAAAATTGACAGATTGTCGGCGTAGGCATATGTCTTAACGTTAACACCCAGAGGAATCTTCAGCAGAGAGTCAAGTGCAGCGTTTCACAAAAGAGGACCCCGTACAGAGCCCTAAATACAGCCTCTTGTAAGAGGTTTAGAGACCCAAGAGTAGTGGACCTATTTAAAAGATAGCTTCTGACAAAATCTGATAGGCCCTTGTTGACCATGGAGCATAATATTAAAATGTCCCTGGTCTGTATAGGAGGATGCTGATATTTTATTATTGGGAAAAAATAACACACATTCGGTGCGTATTGTCGCAAGAGCTGAGTCAAAATTATATATCCACTGCAATTTTACGAATTATAAAAATGGCAGGGGTAAATTCTTTTTAGAATTTTAACATAAATTCACCTATACCCTTTGTGCCACTTTGGAAAACCCTGTATAGTATGTTGTGCGACGAGTGGGAATTTGAGTTTTGCATTAATTATGCTCCACGAGTTGTAAATTGTTGTTTATTAGTTAAATAATTTATATTATTTTAAACTTACTTCAAAAAGTGATGAAAACTAGATACACTACATGATGACCATCTAAATCCTCTTTCTGTATGCCTTAAATCAGACATAATAAATCCATCAGTCCATTGGCATTTTTCTGCACCAGGACCACCTAGATACGATGGAGGAGGACTACCATCATGAACCGCTCCCAGCCTTAAAATAAAATAATTAAAACATTTAAAAATTATTATTTTATACTTACAAATGACCAACTTCATGAGCTGCCACGATTATACCACTAAATCCACCAGTATCTTCAATTATGGCTACAGAATTTACTTTTTCCAGTCTCTTATTTACGACACAGGCTCCACCCACGTAAGCGAAACCTAGATAATATATTTTTTTAAAGTGACAATTTTAAAAATTTAATAAAAGCAAATCATATTATATTTTATAGGTGAGATTTTGTAGATTATATGTATAAAGCTAACTTTGTCAAAATTTAATCTAATTTATTTTTAAATAATATTTTTATGTGGGCTATATTTATTGTATTATATAAATCTATTAAAATATTTTTTTTTTATTTTTTAGAACATTCTTAACAAATAAATCAATTAATATATTTTTGGGTATTATTGGTTTTATGTTATGTTATGTTATTTAACAACTGTACGTGAATGCAACGTAAACCTGTCTTTGTCTTTTTAAACAACAATGTTTTCATTTTTGTTTATAAAACTTAAACTTCTTTCGACTACTTACGTTTTTATACAACAGATTAAAGTATAACAATTTATTTTTTAGATAAAACAAATAACTGAACCGGTCAAGACAGTAAGTATTACCTTAAAATAGTTGCTAAAAGTTTAGTAGTTTACAGTAAAAAAATGTTAAGTTAGTAAAAATTAACAAAATAAAATTTAGATTAATTTCCCCTGGACCCCCCAGTTTTCCCCTAGCCTAGGGGAAATGCTTAAAATCTTAGAAATTTCAGTATCTGTGAAACCAATTTTAACTATAGTCACAACTCACTAGATACGTGAAAACATTATCGTTTTACTTAATATTGCGTATACGCAATATTAAATAAAACGATAATGTTTTCACGAATCTCGAGTCGCTTAGTTCGAATCTCACTGTAGAATTTCCCTAGAGTCCACTAGCCTAGGGGGAAATATTGTTAACTGAGCAAAACTTGCGATTCATTTAATATTGCGTAGATCAAAATTGCTTTCACAGATACTGAAATTTCTAAGATTTTACGCATTTCCCCAAGGCTAGGGGAAAACTGGGGGTCCAGGGGAAATCCTGAGACCGGATTCGGATTGACAGGCTCAAAATACATAGGGGTAGTATAATCACATGTAAAGTTCATTCCACTTTTTTTTGTGGGCCTGTGTACTGTAATCGTTTCATACTTTTATCCATTTTCATATTTTAAGTTAAAATTTTGTATTGTATATTTAATTTCCCTCCTTTTTCAACGTATTGGTTTGCATTCAGCATCCCTTCATTCAGCTGCTTTAAAATATCTTGAACCTCGGCGTTGCCTTTTTGCTCCATGTAGGCCCAATCACCGTGTTTGACTCTTCTCACCATATTAACTGGGTTTCTGCTCAAGTAATCGACGTGTGGTAGGCTACTTCCCTTACGGTATACAATCTCAAAATCGAAATCTTGTAAATAGACCCACCAGCGGGCGATGCGAGGTACCAAGTCTTTCTTTGTAGCTGTAGCCTTAACAGAATTACAATCTGTAACCAAGGTGAACTTTATCCCCAATAGGTAGGTACGAAAATGTTTTAATGCTTGTATGATCGCCAAAGTCTCGAGCTCATAGGAGTGGTACTTACCCTCTAAAAAACCTGCGGCATTTAGTGCATTTAGCACCAATCGTAAGCTCTGAAGTCCTTCTTGGAGTGTGCGGCTCGGAATCAGAATGTCATCTAAGTACACCAGGGCGACAGTGTCCTTCAAGGGTCCCAATGCAAGGTTTATGACTCGCTGAAAAATAGCGGGTGCATTGGCAAGACCAAATGGCATTCGCAGATACTCGTAATGCCCATCGGGTGTTACGAATGCTGTTTTTGGAATCGATTCCTCGTGGATCGGTATTTGGTGAAATCCGGAGGCCATGTCCAGAGATGTATGAAACATCCTTTACCCAATCTGTCCAACTGATCTTCAATTAGTGGAAGAGGGTATCGGTCTTTGATTGTAATCCGATTAAGCTCTCTGAAATCTACGCACATCCTATACGAACCATCTTTCTTTCTGACTAATAGAACAGTATTTCCAAAAGGAGACTCACTGGGTCGAATAATGTGGTTCCTCATTAAATCTGATACAATTTCCCTGACAGCTTGCCTCTCACTGGCGGCCATTCGATACGGTGAGCGATTGCTAATAACGTCCTTTTGGAGCCTAATCTGCAAACAAGCATTATTTACTGCTGTTACTCTGTTACCACTTGTAATCATGCATGTGAAGTCTCGTAGCACTTCGTTCAAGGCATGACGATGTTCTGTCGGAACGTCAACTTCACACATTTGGCCTTCCACTACACGACGGATGCCGGGAGCCTCTGATAGTAGGTTTATTCCTGGTAGGTTGCGTCGTATCACTCGAGACCCTTGGTAGTCAGTGATGGTAACAAGGCTTTCATCCCCAAAAAGGTTTCGACTAATAAAAACATCGAAATCGAGGCACTCGTCTGGCATAAAGACGTAGGTAACGATTGTGTCAACACCGGAAATTCTTGTGCTTCCCGTAAATTTGTTAGTAGCGGTGATTGTAATGCTAGAAATTCCCTTTAGCACGATGTTGCACGACACAACTTTGTCCTTGAATAGGTCCAAATATTTCTCTGAAATGAGCGATAAATCTGCACCGGTGTCGATCAATGCGCAAAAATTGTGTCCATCAATGGCAACTTCAATAGTACCAGTAGGTTTACCCGTAGAACAAAAATTAACACTACGTCTCTTGTCAATTGCAGCTTTCGTAAAACAGTTGGAAGCATTATGCCCACGCTTTGCACAAAATGAACAAGAATCATTTGAACTTTGTGATGTGCTAGGCAAATTATCCCTTTTATCGGTACTGTTTGCTTCAAAGGTTTTTTTTTTCTTTGCGAATATTTTCGTTTGTTACCAGTACTCGTACTTTGCTTGCTGTCTTCAACGTCACGTAGGTATTTTTTTTAAATGACTACAGAAATACCAAAAGTTCAGACACAGATTTAAAATTACAGTTCATGGCAGTATTACGAATTTCAAGTTCCGATATACCATAAATTATTAGTTCAACCAAGTCATTTTCTTTCCAATTAGCACGTAAAGTTTTTAATTTAGCCAACTTTTCATGTACATACGTTTCATAGGTGTTAGCACGTAAGCTATCGAAATCTGCAGCCTTCTACAAACTCTTGACAGAACGTTGCCCATTCCCTAATATCTGGGTTCCAACGGTCGTACCATGTTTTTGCGTCTTTCAACAAAAAACGTCCCACACGAGCTAAAGTTGTTACATCAGACCATCCTAATTCATTTTTAATACTTTCTACATGGCTCACCCATTTAGTTGATTCGGTAACCTCAGAACGAAAAGGCGGCAAATCTACCTGTTCGCCAGACCGTTGTGACTGTAAGGCCTTAAACAGGTCTGCAAGGAGCGTTTGAACAGGATTGTGCTGGCTACTATCACCTGGTTGCGCTTCTTGGTCAACCAAAGTTTCACTACTGTCCATTGTGGAACACAGTCCGTGACACAATTACAAAAACGTTTAAAAGTTTAAACCAAGTTACCACACATAGAGTCCACAAAATCTAAAGCACTTTACAATTTAAACCGCGTAGTAAACCACACTTGCACTGACTTTATAAACACTTCACTTTATAATTTAAACCGCGTAGCAAACCACACTTGCACCGACTTTATAAACACTTCACTTTATAATTTAAACCGCGTAGCAAACCACACTTGTACAGTCTACTGTTGGCTGTTGAGAACGATTCCACTTCTGATGTACGAAATAGCACAATTAAACAATAAAGTTTCTCAACGACACTAAAATTATCAACAACAATTAACAATTAAAGCGGCGTAGTAACCCGATCACGGGTTATCATAAGACTGCTCGTCTTTTGCGGACGAATTCTTTATATACGCATAATTACACAACACCGTGACCGGCAGCGGCTTACAAAACAAACTTTTAACCGTATTACTCATACTTCTTAAAAATATTCGCTAACAATATATATTTATATATATATATATATATAAGGGTGGTCCTTATTTAGGGTGTGTTCGAATTTTTCTTCACGATAGTCCTAAATAGGCTCCAAATATATAAAAAAAATAAAGTGCCAAATTGCAGCTCTTAATTTTAAAATTAAGCCGGCCCCCCCGACAGCCAAAGTTTTAAATGGGAAAAGTTCTGTTATTACTTTGGATTTTTTTAAGTCATGAACTAATAAACGGATTATATAGAAGGATAAATATTCTGGTACCAAATTTAACGCTCTTCAAAAAAGGTTTCTTGTGATTTTTTGCTAACTTGACTGGTTCAAAAGATATTTGAGGTCAAAATCAAAGTTCTAGTCAATTCCATGGTTTTTCCATTTTTATTGTGGTTTGATGATTCAAAAATGTAAAAAGGGTTATAATTTATATTCTAGATAACTTTTGTTATCTTGACGTTTGCTCTAAAAAGAAAAATATTTTGATTAAATATTATTAAAATTTTAATGGATTAAAAAAAATACCAGATGGTAAGGCGGTCGCTTGGTATGCTAGAGGTACCGGGTTTGATACTACTAGAAGTTGTCGAACTTTTTTTATTTTTTTATTTTATAAATTTGTTGTTCTTTTTTTAAAAAGTGTTAAGTTGGTTGGTTTGTTTAAGTTTTATCGTAACATAACAAATCTTAAAATTAGTAAACTTAAGTCCCGCCTCGGGACGGGAGCCACAGCAATGTTTTTATTAAGAAGTTTGAATTTAAAACTAGAGTTTATAAAAATTTTTACTAATTAAAATCAAAATCTTTTAACAATACCTATGTTCAAAATATCTTGCGTATCCCAAAATTTAAAAAATCCTTAAAAGTTACGACAGTGCAAAAATAACTAACTGTAACTAACTTTTTAGGGTCACGATTACCCTGAAAGTTTTCTAAAAAATAGAACCATCTAAAATATATATTATAACCCTTTTTACATTTTTGAATCATTAAACCACGTTGAAAATGGAAAAAAAAAACATAGAATTGACTAGAACTTCCATTTTGACGTCGAATAACTTTTGAACCAGTTAAGTTAGCAAAAAATCACAAGAAACTTTTTTTGTAGAGCGTTAAATTTGTTACAAGAATATTTATCC